GGAACATGGATCTCTGGTGTTATTCCTTTAATACCTAGTGGTATTAGCAGGAGCTTTGTATAGTGTATGTTCGTTGAGTGAATGGTGAGTTCACATTTCTAAGTCCCTTTGAATATCTGAGTCTGGTTTTTTTTTAAGATTTTCTACAAAAGATTCTGGTGGAGGGGGCAGAAACTGATTTCCAGAGTCTTTCTTTTCACCTACCATGTTTGGGGAGCCCAGATTTGAAAGAAAATATAGTGTTACCAGGAATTATAACCTGGGCAAGGTAGGTACTGATTTAACAACTTAGGAGTAGCTGCAGATGAGGACTGTTCTGTCAAAGAGGGTTCTGGGTTCTCCCTGCTTCCCCTTGGCACCTCAGAGAGGCAGTGCTTCTGTCTGTAGGGGCTGAAACAGATCAACAGGTTTTTGAAAAGGCTTTGGTGATTTCACCCTGCTCTAATCTCGGTCCAGCCTTTCTTTTGCCGACTCCTTCCTAAGCACCTGTGGGGCACTCTGCAGCTCACATTTGATGGGGTCTAGGGGGAGCCTTGGGAGTCACAACCAGGAAAGCTCCTCCATCCGACTCCCTCACCAGGCTCTGCCAGAGTGTCTGTGTAAAGATGTTGCCTCTGAGGGTGGACACTGCCAAAGAGGGACAGTACCACCCATGGGGTCTTGGGCTGGTGGACAGGTGCAGAGCACCCTCTCTTTGCATCTGTTCCAGGGATTGTTTCAAGGCGTTCTATGTCCACAAGTTCAGAGCCATGCTTGGGAAGAACCGACTCATCTTTCCTGGAGAGAAGGTACACATGGGGACTGGGTGCTTGGCGGGCAGCCCCTGCCGTCTTCCTGTGTGTACAGTTCTTCAGCTGGCCTGCTGTCTCTGGACTTTGGGGCTGTCTAAGAAATGAAGCAGACTTGCTCACACTGAAGATGCATGTCCTTGCTGATGCTCTCTCCCCACCCCAGGTGCTGTTGGCGTGGTCTGGGGGGCCTTCGTCCAGCTCCATGGTCTGGCAAGTTCTTGAGGTACGTCTATACCATCCTCTGGGCCTAAGCCTCTTTCCTCAGCCTACACTACAAAGTTTTTGGTTGACACTAGACAGAACACCCCACCCCGGCTGGGACACCCATAGAATCTCCCATGTACATTCAGCAGGTGTGCAGTCCAGAAGCCCTGTGCAGGGTCCCCAGCTACATCCCTGTTTAGCTGTATTTGTTGGGACATAGTATCACAGTTTGGCCAGTTATGACTTGTGGGCAGAGAGAAGTATTTGCTGAAAACAGGGAGGAGTGGCCTAGGTAGAAGGGGGTGGGGCAGATAGACGGGGGACTCAAGCTGAGAATGCCTGACACTGCTGAGGGTATGCAGGGTTTCCTTGAGGGGCCCTGGTACAGAAGAGGGGCCTGCATGCTCTTTTTACTGTGGGACACCAGCTGGAGGGCCAGAGTAGAGGCTGTAGTTGATAGAAGTCAGTGGTCTGAGCTGAACTTGGTAAGTGGCAGTGCATTCCAGTGTGAATATCCTGTGTGGTACTTCTGGGGGTTTTGTCCTACCTGCTAGTCCCCTAACCCTGCACATGTGGAGGTGAGATAGCTCACCGTGGAGCCATTTGTCAGTGTCCCAGCTCCTCTTAGGACTCTGCCCCCGCCTTCCGTGGGTTGTCACCTCTGTTCTTACATACCAAAGCACTTTCTGAGGGTTCTAAGGTGCCCAGAGGTAGTAAAGTGCCCCCACCGCCCCATGGTCCAGCTGGTTGTCTCAGGCTGCTGTCTGTCAGAAACAGACTGGAGAGGGTGGATTCTGAAGTTTCTGATACAGACAGGACATGCCCTCATATGGGAGGGAAGACTTGCACCCACATCCCTCCTGTGGGGAAGGAAGACCCAGATCCACACTTTCTCCTGTGGGAGGGAAGACTTGGGCCCATACACACACCTCTGAGGAGGGGAGACCCAGGCAGTATTGTCCACTGTCTGGAGAGTCTGAAGTCCAGAGAAATGCTTTTGGCCAGGTCTGAACCCCGACACTTTTCTTCCAGGGTCTGAGTCAGGATTCTGCAAAACGGCTACGCTTTGTGCCAGGAGTCATCTATGTTGACGGTATGTCTGGCCACTCCTTGTTCAGTCCCCAGCAATGGGTGAACCCCAACAGGCCCTTCAGGGGACAGAGTGGGGACAGAGTTGTATTGAAGGGCCCAGGGATTGAAGAAGGTGAGTTTAGAGCTAGTCTTTGGGAATGAAAGACTAGGCAGTTTCTTTAGCTGTGATGGGGGCCTGTTGGAAAACACCCAAAAGAAAATGCCATTCCTGCCCTTACAGAAGCTTTCTCTAAAGAGCAGACCTGGTGGGACTTCCATGTGTGGCACTGACCACCTCAGCCTGGTCCATCAGGCTCTTCCTCCGTGACTCCTACATACTTACTACCTGGGTTTTACAGAGGGAGCAGCCTGTGGCCAGAGCCTAAAGGACAGAGGGAAGACCTTGGCTGAGGTGAAGCTGATCCTGCAAAACACTGGCTTCCCATGGCATGTGGTTGCCTTAGAGGAGGTAGGTGGGTCTGCCCCTGGTGGGGACCTTGGAGGGGGTACCCATCAGAGCCACATGCTTGCTTACTGGAGCCGCCATCCTTTGGGCCTCTTGCCCTGGGCCTTGATTTTCCGGCCGTTCTGGAGGGCAGGTATGGGCCTTGGACTCAGTGTCCCTTCTTCCATCCTGAAAGGTGTTCAGCTTGCCGCCATCGGTGCTGTGCTGTGCTTCCCAAGAGCCAGCAGGGACAGAGGAGGCCTACAAAACGGCAGTGGACAGCTTCCTGCAACAGCATCGTGTGCTAGGGGTTGAGGGCTGTGCCAGCCCAGCTCAGGGGGAGGATCAGCCACACCTGTCCCATAGCCAGGAACCCCTAGGCATGGCTGGGTCCCCCATAGCTGCTCAGACTGAGGCCTTGTCTAGGTTGTTCAACTCCATAAAGACACTGACAGCCAAAGAGGAGCTGCTGCAGACGCTGAGGTGAGCGCACCACCCCCAGCCCTCCCTGGCTTGTAGGACTCCAGCTCCAGCTTCTGTAATTCACCCCATCACAGGACCCATCTGATCGTGCATGTAGCCCGAACCCATGGCTACTGCAAGGTGATGACTGGGGAGAGCTGCACCCGCTTGGCCATCAAGCTCATGACCAACCTGGCCCTGGGGAGAGGAGCCTTCCTTGCCTGGGACACGGTATGCAGGGCCTGAAGGCCAGGGTCTTTGTCCTCCTTCATTTGAAAGCCCTGTTGGGTTATCCTGGGGCCTTCCAAGTCGAGAGGCCTGGGACCCAACTGTAGATGGTGGTGGCAGTGTGAAGAGGTACTGCGAGGATTTGAACCATACAGTGTCTGCTCCCTAGGGCTTCTCAGATGAGCGGCATGGGGATGTGGTATTGGTGAGGCCCATGCGGGACCACACACTAAAGGAAGTGGCCTTCTACAACCACCTGTTTGATGTTCCCTCAGTCTTCACCCCAGCCATTGAGACTAAGGTGGGCCTATGGAGGAGAGCCGCATGGGCTGGTTGGGGGCATCTTCTCCATACAGGGTCAGAAATCCCTGGTGCATTGTTGGGGACTTGAATCCTTGCCAGCCAGCTTTAGCCCTTCCCTTAAGGCTGGCCTTGAGGCCCCAGCTGGTTCTCTGTGACCTTAGCATCTGCTGTCCTGCCTCTGAAAAAGCCAGTAGTAGTGTCTGTGTATCCAAGGGTCCTCCAAGCATGCCTTGTATTCTGGAAGACCAGGCTGGTACCCCTAAGGAGGTGGTGTGGAGGAAGAGGTGTCCCTGAGGTGAAGGGGTGGCAAGATGACCTGTCATCCACACTGTGTGAATCCTGTGCTGGTCTCAGTCTCCTCGGGCTGGCCATGTGAAGCCCATGGTACTTGCTTTAGGTGCCCCTCGGTCTTCTAAACACCCCCATCTGATTGTCCCTAGGCTCCAGAAAAGGCTAGCATCCACCGGCTGATGGAGGCCTTTATCCTGAGGTTGCAGACTATGTTCCCCTCTACAGTCAGTACTGTGTACAGGTGTGTGTGCCACTGGGGGTTCTGTTGAGCCTGCTGCCCACTCTTGAGGGGAGCAGAGCCCATGGCTGGGGCATACTTGTTACCTGTCCCTGTTTGTCTGTGCACCTGCCAATAGGACAAGTGAGAAGTTGGTCAAGGCTCCCCGGGAGGGCTGTGCCACTGGCCCCTCAGGCCACAACTGCCTGCTCTGCATGTGTACACTGGACATTGACACTGCTGGTGCGTGCAGGGCCTTCTTGGAGTGTTGTGTGGGGTGGTTACTTGGCTGCTCCAGGGTCCCTCAGCCCCTCTCTATTGCAGACAGTGCCACGGCCTTCGGTGCTCAGTCCTCCTCACATGTCTCCCAGATGCTGCCTGCTGAGACTAAGATGCCTACCCCACCCTGCTGTGGTGCAGGGGAGGGTCAGGCCCAGAGCTACCACAGGGATGTTGGCAGGAGGTGAGACCCTGCCTGTGTCCTGCCCTATGGATGGGTGGAGGGGGCAGGAAGACTGGCTTTAAACAGGGTTCAGAGTGAGACCAGGCACACAAGTTTAGTTCTGCTTGTACAGGGGGGATGTCCAGGCCTGCATCATAGAACAGCTGTGTTATAGCTGCCGGGTGAACATGAAGGACCTGGTGAGTGGCTGTCCATATGTCCCTGTGAGCTGTCCCCACTGTCCCATTGGTTTCTCACACTGCCATCTCTTGTAGCCTTCCCTGGACCCATTGCCACCTTACGTCCTGGCTGAGGCTCAGCTCCGCAGCCAGAGGTAATGCCTGCTCTTTGGGGAGACCTCTGGGGAGACCCCGAGGACTGGTTCTCACTGCAGTCTCCCTTAGGGCCTGGGTCTCTAAAGAAATCCAAGAGTATCTGATTACAGACAATGATGAAGAGGAGGAGGAGGAAAACAGAGCTGAGCCTGGGCATACCCAGCCCTGCAAACCCATCAAGCAGGAAGGCGGGAACACTGGGCTTGGTCTCTGACTGTCCGTTTGTATAAATAAAATGTTTTTACTTAGAAAACTCTACAGTACTTGTGGGAAGGGAGAGCCAGGCCCCCAGACCCAGTGTGGCTAGCCCTGAGCTACACTGGGCCCCCAGCCCAGCAGGCGGGGACGCAACAGGTGGGGACCCAGTGTCCCTTTGACAGCAGCATCATCAGGGCTTACACGGGCCAGGAGGATGTGTCACAGCTCGTGGCCTCAGGCAGCTCCACTCCTATCCAAGGAGCTCTGTCAGCCCTGGTGGCCATGCTGCCCTGGGGCAGCTCCTTCATTCCCGGTGCCCAGGAGCCAGGCTCCTACTCCTTCTCACGTGTCCACTTGATCATGGTCTCTGGTGAGCGGTACAGGAAGATGAGCTTGGCATATAGCTCCTCCTCCAGCTCCAGCTCCCGGGTCTCCCGCACCAAGAAGATATCCTGGCACAGCTTGAGGATGCGGTCCACACATGGCAGCTCCTCAAACATGATGGAGTGTGAGATATCACTGAAGAAGCCCCGCATAAACTTGCCAACAACTAGCACAATGGACACGTATAGCCCCACGATCCTGTTGGGAGAGGCATGTGAACTAGGACCACTCAGAACTGCCCTGGGGGAGGCGGGCTATAGGGGATTCCTCTGCAGTACTCACCCGTAGCCAGCCAGGAAGCCGAGGCTAGGTGGGCTGACCTTGTCACTGAAGATGACCATGGGCAGCAGGTTGCAGTCAGCCTGGCAGTCCTGCAGCTCAATCACCCACCACTCCAGGAAATCAGAAGCCTTTGTGCCTGCTTGCTCCCCGGAGGTCCCTGTGCCCACTTGCTCCCTCCGCAGCTGGATGCGCACACCAAGATAGTCGTCTTCCTCATCTGAGTTGAGTGGGGTAGTTAAGAGTCGGGCTACCACCCACCCTGGCCTAGGCAGTATCCCAGCACCCTGGTCCCACGCTCACCTGGCTGCAGCTGCTTCACCGGATTAGCTTCAGGCCCATTGGGAGCACGAATGTACTTGGGGAAGAGGTGGGGAATGACCCTGTGGAAGGAGTCAGCAAGTCAGGGGCATCTTAGGCTCCCCTGCCCACCTGCCCCACGGTGGCCTCCACTCACACTGACTGGTCAGGTCTGCCCTCGAGCAGTTGGGCCAACTGCCTCCGTTCTGTACTATTGGGGGCCAGCTCCAAGGTGTGCTTCTCATTGGTATACTCCACTCTGCCACCCTTGGCCAGGTCCCTAGGGGGTGGGCAGTGTTAGGCAGTGTGGGGCATCCCCCAGACCCCTGTAAGCACGGGACCCACCTTTGGAAATTCCAGGTGAAGCGTAGTGTGATGTCAGCTGTGCCATTGTACAGCTCCTGCTTCATCTGGGCCCGGCTTGGGGGGCTGATGCGCCACAGTGCCCCAGAGCTACCCTCGATCTGTGCAGTGACGATGTCCTCAGGACTGTACTGGCTAATGAACTGCATGGCTAGCTATGTGGAGCATACCTCGGTTAGGGGCAGCGGGTTACCTTTTCCCTGCCAGCCCACCTCACACCAAGTGGATATAGTGCAGGGCACTTACTGGGTAGGGGTCAAACTGCTGGGACAGCTCCTCATAGGCCTGCTGTGTGAAAGGCACTATAGAAGGCTGCTGGGCGCTCATGGTGAACAGCGGCTAGGGATGGGATGGATGCATGATCAGCGTGGAACCACCCACAGCCTGCAAGGAGTGGGTGTGTCCTTGCTAATGGGGGAATGGGCGGGCTGGAGGCTGGCTACTCACCTCATAGCCGCCCAGCTTGAGGGTAACAGTGACATCAATGGGCTGGTTGACAACACCCACCACAGAGCGTATCAGTGACATGAAGAGCAGTGGGAACCAGATGATAGCAATGAGGAAGAGGATGATGAGGCCACCCATACCATACTTGACGATTTTCTTCTTCTTCTGTCCTTTGGGTTGTGGGTATTTCTGGAAGGTAGATACTGGTCACCCTCCCAGCCCCTTGGCTGCAGGCCGCGAGCCTCAACCTGGTGACACTGAATAGGCCTGAGGTCCGAAATAATAGAGTCAGCTGCTTTAGTGAATGGGGCTGGGACATTAGCTGCATGCCACACTCACAAGAGAAGGGAGCCTACTTTCTGCACAGCTGCAAGCAAGGACATTAGAGCAGAGAGCTTGCTGTGAGTTTAAAGGCCCAGAAGACACATCTCTGCAATCTTACAGACTTTTGGGGAACACCAGAAGTGAATGCAAACAGGAAAACAGTATTTTTTAAATTAATTTTGTGTTTCAAAAGTGATAATGGCCAGGTGGTGGTGGTAGTGGTGGTGGCGGTGGCGCACGCCTTTAATCCCAGCACTTGGGAGGCAGAGCCAGGCGGATCTTTGTGAGTTCGAGACCGGCCTGGTCTACAGAGCGAGATCCAGGACAGGCACCAAAACTACACAGAGAAACCCTGTCTCGAAAAACCAAAAAAAAAAAAAAAAAAAAAAAAAAAAGATAATGAGAAAGCACTACTCTTGTAGAAGTCCAGAGTTCAGTTTCCAGAAGGCATGTTGGCTGGGTGGCTCACAACTGCCTGTAACTCCAGCTCCAGAGGAATCTAGTGCCCTCTTCTGGTCTCCACAGGCACCTGCACTTATGTGTACCCACACATAATTATGAATAATGAATTTGTTTGTTTGTTTGTTTGTTTGAAGCAAGGACAACCAGGGCATGAGAGAGTGCAGAGCAGCCATGAGGTGGGATGGAGTAGCCAGAGCCTACAAAGAATGCTTACAAATCTAACAGATGACTTGACCACACCTAGGATGTAATCTGAATAGATATTTCTCTAAGGAAGATAATCGGGCAGTAGCACATGAACTGTCAAACATTGGAACTTCAGTTAGCTGGTGAGAGAGATGCAGCCACTTCAGAAACAGTTCACAATGACAGAACAGTGACCTCCTAAGTGCCACGTATAAGCAGACACACAGTGAAAACAGCAGCAGTCCACCGATGGAAAGGTAGAGACACACTGGGGTCTCCGCACTCCATGGAAGCTAAGGAGTGCTAAGGTCTAAGGAGTGGAGTACTGACCCACTACAAGGAGGAACCTTGAGAACAAGGCTGAGGGGAGGAAGCCTGGTACCAAATGGTTCTGTGTTAACAAATGGGCAAACCACAGACAGGAAGTAGACTATAGACCACCAGGGGTGGAGAGGGGAAGTGGGGGACAATTAATAAAGGGGACAAGGTTTCTTGGTGGGGTGGTGATATCCTAAAGCTGGCTGCAATGGTGAGTGCATGTACTTTGTGAATATACTAAACTAAGAAACAGCCCTGGTAACAAACAGCTAACATCTGCCTGCTGCCACCTCCCAAACCCAAGGGCTCAGTCCACCGTCCCCTGCTGCCCCCTAGACCCACTGCAGCTGTCCATGAGATCTAGAAAGCTCCTTTCTCTGGGTTGCTGTGCATGTGGGTTGTAAACTCCCAAGAGATAGCCATCCATCCTCTGCCCTGGCACCTTCTCTGTTTCTCGGCTGCATTTGATGATGAAGATGTTGGCATAGATGTCTTCTACACACATCCAGTTGGACAGGGACAGTGTGGTGTCAGTCCACACCCAGTCCATGACGGCCCTCAGCTCCACCAGGAATGGCACTAGACGGAACCTGCCGAGGCCAGGGGTCCATTAGCAGGGACAGCCTACACTGGCTTCTACCTGCTCTTCATGATCCCTAGGCAGACCACACTCACCCCTGGAAAAGGAAGAGGTTTACATGATTGTACTTCTTGGTGAGGAAGTTGCCCAGGATACGGGTGGGGTAGCCGCAGCGGATCTGGTAGGCAGACAGGGCAAAGTAAATGCACTTCACGAAGTACCACAGCTGGGCCACTGCATTCTGGCTGAACATTCTGAATGGAACAGGGACAGGATGTCAGGGAAGGTGAACCTGACAGAAACAGTTCTGGAGGCCAACCCAAACTGTGCCACACCCAGAGTGTCTAGTGCGTCAGGGCAGACTGAGGCCCCTGGGGGCAGTGCCTCATGTCACCTACCTCTCAGTGACGGCTGGCAAGATAAAGAACATCCAGAGGTGAATAGCCACCACCAGGACCACCTGAAAGGCCAGCTTGCCCAGTACGGTCTTGCGCAGGTAGAGGGCACGGTCAATGACCATGGTGCTGAACTGGACCAGCAGCATGAAGAGGAAGGCCTCCGGCACCTGGTCATCTGACAGTGAGGATGCGATGTCTGTGGCTGCGGAGTGCTTCTGTAGTAGAGGGCACAGGTTGTGGAGATGGAGCCGGAGCGCACCTGAGAGTTCTGAGCCCGTGCACTCCAAAGGCCTAGAAGCCAGTCATCCACTCGGGGGTCCCAGGTCCACTTACCCCAAAGGCCCAGAAACCAAAGATGATGATGATGAAATCGACAATGTCAGCCAGGAACATGAGAGCATAGACATCTGTGGCCGCTCGGTACTTGGTGTGCAGAATGTCATGGAAGAAACGCCGCAGGGGTTGATAGATGCCCTGAGCTCTGTGGATGGGGACAGCCTCAGAGGGTGGGTATCCAGCGAGGGACTGCCTTCCTGCCCCAGTGCCCACCAGTCCCGGCCCGGTTACTCACAGTGACAGGCAGAAGCTCTGCAGCCGGCGCCCAGCTGCCTTCATTCTTTCCTGAACCTTCAATCTTCCTCGAGCGTGATGTGGGCTCTTTCTCCCTGCGGCTTCTTTTCCTTCCTCCTCCTCTTCCTCAGCCTCTGTGAGTGTCCAGGGAAATGTCAGTGACCCCACCAGGGACTAGCTGTCCATTCCAACAAGCTAACATCACCCCACTTTATGGACAGCACAGGAACCTCCCCACAGTCACCAGTGAGAGAGCAACTGCTGCTGTGTCCTTTCTTGGGGTAGCCTTGAGACTTCAGCCCAGGCCCATAGACATCTCATCCTGGGTATAGGGACAACTCCAAGGACAGATACAGGGACGATACTGAGCAGTTGTGTGCTTCCCAAAGGGTTGTCCCTGTACTGGGCTGGCCATCTGTGTCTCCTCCCCTCCTAGCAATCTGCAGGGGTCTAGCCTGGACTCTCACCCATAGTCACTGCTCCTTTGGGTCCTGGAGTCTTCTTCTTCCTCCTGAAGCGTATGCTGATGTGCCTCTTGTGCTGCGGCTTAGGGTCCTCTAGGGGTTCTTGGATCCCATCCTTAGATCTAACATTTCCTTTCCCTTGGATGTGGTCCCTGGGGGTACCAGCCAACACCAGCTCCTCGGGATGCCCAGTGCCTGCCTCAGGCGGCGATTCCAGCATAGCTTCTGACTCTTCCTCAGCCTCCTGGTCCTTCTCACTATTCCTGCAGTGGTCCTTGGAGAAACTGTCCTCCTCATGGTCCCAGAGGCCATAGCACTGTGGAGAATATGGAGGAGCAGTCAGGACGCCAGCCCAGGCCATATTTAGACCAGACCCATGCTGGGCCATTCAAACATCCAGCCTCTGGGCTCGAGAATGCCTGGAGTTTCCAAGGAGCCCCTGCCACCCCGGGACTGGCTTGTGGGCTCACCAGTAGCTGGGAGCGGTGGAAGAAGAGGGCCAGGAGCTGCACCAGGTCATACTTGATGTAACTGTCAGTTTTCTCAAGACCCAGGATGCGTGGAGGGAAGTAGGGCTTGTTCTCATAGCGCCGTAGCACCACGTAGCTATTCCAGGGGAAGAAGCCAAACTGGAACAGGTACTTGGTGACCACCATGACCTGCAGGACAGGGCACTCAGCATGGGCCAGGTGGCCCCGCCCCAGCCCTACAAGCTGCCACCCACCTCAGTGAAGACAATGGCTGTCATCCAGAAACGCTTGCTGGGCCTTGGGATGGTCAGCATGGCCCACAGGAAAATGAGCATGGGCAGCACCAGGGAGGCAGCCGAGGCTGTCACCATGTGGTTGAGGATGATGATGAAGTAGCAAAGCAGCTCTGAGTGTGCCGCCACACACTGGTACACGGCTCTTAGCAGCCGCAGAGTCCGGCCCTGCTGAGCTGCAAACTCCTCAGCCTCCTCCAGCTCTTGGATGCGTAGGCGCCTGCCACAAGACCACAGGAGTTTGGGGGCAAGAGCCAGGAGCACCCCTAGGGTGCAGAGCCCAGCCTGCAGCCATGGCAACAGACGGACTCCAACCCAAGGCCTAGCCAGTTCCTGCACCCATCTCCTCACCCAGCTCCTCCCACTGGGCTTCCTGCTCAGGAGAATTCCCTTGAAATCCTGCACACATCCTAGCCCTGTCCCACCTGTCCAGGAGCAGCTCACTGGCTGTGCGCATCCGTGTGCGAGCATTGGCTAGAAGCTCCTGGGAGTCATGCAGGGAGGTCTCAGCCTGGAGGTCCCCAGTGTCAGTGATGATCTCCTCGCTGCCACTGCGGGTGTTATAGCCTGTGCTCAGGGGGCTGCTGGTATCGTCTGTCATGCTACTCAAAGGCTCTTCAGCTCCCAGCCCACTGTGGGAGAAAAGGTCACAGAGGGCCAATCCTTAGGCTCTGGGGAAGGATAGAGGAATGATGCCTGGAGAGTAACCAGAAGTAGCTGAGACTGAACAGTGTTAGACCCTGCTAGATCCCTGTCAGCAGCTCAGGGATCAGTCCCTGCTTTGGGCCACAGAACAAGCAAAAATGGGGACCCTGGCTCACCCCTGGCCCCCCGGGCCCTGCACCAACCTTGAGGCTGTGCTGGGTCCATCACGGGTCTCCGTGGGACCTGCTGGCAGTGTGGTCTCAGCTTCGCTCACATAAAGCTGGTCTAGCACCCCTCGGTGTACCTCTCCACCCTGCAGAGAGCATGGAGAAACTCTCAGGCCCTTGAGATGGGCCCAGCTCTGCTCCACATGTGCTCAGCAGGTAGTAGGTATGAGCGTGGCCTTGATGAGGTATAGGAGGGGCTTGGCCCTTACCCGCAGAAGTTCCTGGGTGAGCAGGTAGCGCTCTGCACGAAGCACGTCGCTCATGGTGTGGTGGTGCTTTGTGAATGTGCACAGCCAGCGTGTTAGCCCGTCTACGGAGGCCTGGCCCAGCACCCACAGGAACTGCATGGTGTTCAGGACACGTTGCATCATATGGCTGCGGCCTACAAAGAGCAGGATGGTGCTGGAGGGTTGGCTGGCCACACGAGCCTTCAGCCCCCTGCCCCCTCCCCAGAAAGCCCACATACCTGCTGGCATCTCATCCTCTGGGGCCTCTGCTGGCTCCACCTCCTGGCTCAAGTCACCTCCTGGGCACAGGGATAATCAGCATCAGGTAGCCCTGCAGCTCCCCTACTGGAGCCCCCAAGCACAACTCACCAGAAGCCAGTTGTCGCTGTGCCTGCTCCTGCTGTGCCTGCTCCTGCTGTGCCTGCTCCTGCTGTGCCTGTTCCCGTGCCTGTTCCCGACGCTGCCTCAGCACTGTCTGGGCATTGGTTACCCATGCCTGGTATGCCATCTGCCAGCCAGATTTCTTGGTTAGGACCCTGGCATCTCTAGCTGAGATATCCACTCAGCCTGGCATCATAGTCCCCTCCCAAGGAAGCAGATGAAGGGACAGCCATGATCTGGTCGGTCATGGACCAGATCCTAGCTCCTGCTCTCTATCCAGCTGTGGGTCTTCACCTCCCCAAGCCCTCTCTGTAAATGGACTCCAGAAACTGCGATAGGAAGACAGACATGCAGCTGCCCAGCATGACCTATCCCTCAGTGCCAGGGCCTCAAAGATGGACAAGGGCCTCTCCAGGTCCAAGGACACCAGTATCCATCAGACACATGTAGCCTTTCTCTCAGACCAGGTGGCAGTCATAGAGCCCAGGAGGTAAGGTCGAGGGTGTCAGAGCCAGAACTTTCATGAAATGTAGCAGAGGGCCATAGTTGGCTACCTCTAACCCTCGCATCTACAGCCTGTCTCCCTAGCTGCCTGGACAGGTCTGATGGGCTAGGTGGACTTCTTCAATGTGCAGGAGCTGGACTCCAAGGACCTCAGATGCCTGTCCCCCCATACTGCCCCACTCAGGAACTCCATCGACAGAGCAGGAGGCAAGGCTCCAACTCACCTGGAAGGCATTCTGTGTTGCAGGTCTGGGGTCCTCAGGTAGGGCCTCCTCTTCCTCCTCGCTATCCGACTCGAACAGGAAGTAGTCCCCAGAGTGGATGACTATAGTCAGCAGGGGTAGGAAAGTGGATGTGTATGTGAGAGCCAGTCTCCATGGCAGAGCTGATTCCTCCCCAGCCAGACCCTGAAAATCCTGGAGTTCCTATCTTCAGTTTTGAGTTGGGTGGTAGCAGACCCATTGTTAAGGATGATGTTCCCCCTCAGCATCTTTCACCCACGTGGCCTGGCTTGAGTGCCTCCCTTCCCACTAGAACTATCCCATCCAGGGTTCAGCAGGATGAGGAAGGTGGTCCATGCACAGAACACAGGTCACGACCAGACAGGACAAGGAAAAGCTAGTAAGCATCAGGGTCAATAGCAGAAGTGCAGAGGGATCAAGGCAGGGTACCTGTGGCGTGGTCCAGCCAGGGGCGCCACCACTGTCTCCGTGGCGGGGAGGAGCCCCCTGGGCTGTCAGGCCCTGTGGAGGGGCAAGGCAAGCGTGAACAGGCAAGGGAGGCTGTAGGGCAGCCTATCTTGGGCACAGGGGCACATGGCAGAGACAGAAACAGACACAGAACTCCTGCAGTGACAAGGTTCCATGTGGTGCCACATGTCTCAGAGCCCTGGAGGGATGGAGAGGGGTCACAAGTGCAGGGGGACAGTTCTAGGTGGCCTTCTGGCCTGCTGGGACAGAGGGAAACACATCACATGGCACAGGACTGGGGGCAGGGTCCTGAAGCATGCCACTTACACATAGCACAGGACAGGGAGCAGGGTCCTGTGGCACATCACTTATACATAGCACAGTACAGGACAAGGGTGTGGGGCCCACTTGCACAGGTGCAGGGAGGTTCCAGCAGCATGAACATGCCTGGATGCAGTATGTGTGTGTGTGGCGGGCATCCTCTGAGGTTCTGGGTTTTGTCCATGCTTACCTGGCTCCTGGCTGGGATCCTGGGAGTCGGTGGACTGGAGTTGGCCACGGCTTGCCTGGCTCTGCCTGTACTTCTCCTGTTTGGCACGGATGCGCTTCATCCTGCAAATAGGAAGGAGCTCTGAGTGCCAGGCTGGCCAGAAGAGTCAAAGGGTCCCTAGCCCAGATGACACCTACTGTCTTTTCAGCTGGGCCAGGGACTTCTCTTCAATCTGGCGGTGGAAGTTGATGCTCTTAAGGTTGGCTGCATTGTAGAGGGCAAAACCCCTGCAGGGAAGACTGAGATCTCAGCACTCATCTCCAGATGCATGGGTTTTCTCTACCTTTGGGATTGTCTAGGCTCAAGCCCCTGCCCCTAGGGAGCCCGCCTGGTCCTCCTACTAATACTGAGGCATGTGCTGGGAGACACCTGCCACCTGCAGCCATGAGAGAAGAAATATCTTCTGCCATCTCTTTTCCTGGGGTGGTAAACCATCACAGGAAGGGGCATTGGGTGGCAACTCCGGAGTAGGAAGATGAAACTGCTGACCCTAAGTTCAGCTCCAGGGGCAGAGGCCTCTGCTGGGAGCATGATACCATGTCATAGCCCTCCAGCTGGGGGACACTCAGGCCAATCCGGGCCACATGTTGGGCTAAAACACTGCAGGGCCACATTGTCTTCTCAGCCATAGGTAATAAGGGCAGCTCTGATGATACCAAGGTGCTAGGAGTCCTTTGCTTTCCCTTTTGGTGACAGGATCAAGAGGAGATGTTATTCTAGGGGAAACCTGTGCTGAGGATGAGGGAGGGACTCTTCCCCACCCCAGGGTGAAGCAGCTAGGCAGACCTGGAGGCCTGCAGGGCAGTGGCCTTCAGCTCAGCACTGACATGCAGGAAGTAGTGGCTGAGAAAGACGCGCCGTTGCAGCAGCAGGAAGAAGAAACAGACACTGTCCCAGATGATACCAGCCTCCTCCACAGGTAGCAGGCAGTCCCGGTCTCTGCTCATCATCTCTTTGGCTGCAAGGCAGAAACCAGCATGGCTAGGGGTCAGTGTCAGAAGCAGTGGGAAGTCCTGTGCCTGCCCCTCCCCCACGCTTCTTGCCCACTCACGATTGTAGTAGCCTTTTACTGTGCACACGAGGCTGAAGAGCTGGATGACCCAGCAGAAGTTGCTCTGCATTTGCTCCACGAAGACGCAGGACAGGAGCTGGGGTCAGGAGAGGGGACAGGTTAACCCAGGGCTCCCAGGGAGGCCTGGGGCAGGGTTGGGTGGGCAGTCTGCTCACCGACAGCATATTCTTGGAGATGATGACTGTGACATTATAGAGGATGAGGCAGTCCCACAGCACGAGTTGGGCTCGTGTCTCCTTCTGGAGCAGGGTAGTGCCGAAGAGCAGCAGGTAGAAGCAGGCCAGCAGGTACCCCAGCCCGAAAATGCTGATGCGGGTGGCCCCTGTGATAAACACCACCACAAGCACCAGCCAGAACAGGTAGCGGAAGATGGCCACCTTCAGCATATCCAGATAGGACCTGGCAAGTGGGGACATCACTGAGGTTGCTGGGTCAGCCCAGCTATGCCCTCTTAGCAGGTGCTTCAGAGCGGGCAGTGTGGGACCTACCTGCAGTGGATGAAGTTGGGTACAGGGTTGGGCTCCCCACGCAGGGGCTCCAGGTGGTCGGTGTTGATGCCAGCCATGCGCTGCCACTCCTCTGTCCGCTCGGCCGAGAATACCTGCCACTGCTGGGAGGCGCAGAGCAGCAGGAGGAAGTCACCTGCGGGACAGGAGAGCTGCTGCAGGGCACGCAGCCTGCACATGAGGAAGAATGTACTGCCAGGGGCTGAGGGGCCGCTCCCATTTCACAACTGAGAAAGTGTCTATATATAAAAGCTGGAACCAGGAAGGTGTCAGACTGAGGACACACCGGTCTGTATGTGTGCTGTACACGTGCACACGTGTCAGGGAGCGTGGGCTGCTGTAGCTCTCCCTGCACACTGTAGGGCCGTCAGTGTGCACACCTGTGACTACACAGGTCTGTCCATATCACTGTGTTCACCCATACACTCTTGGACATGTTTTACTTGCGTAAGGGTCAGACCTTCAGCCCCATGAGGATGAGGCTGCACGGTAGCATGACTCTCCTATGGAATGATGCACCACTCAACTGTTAACACCTAGACAATGTGTCCCTTGCTGGTTCCGGGCAAAGGTCCCCGCATATCCAACAAGCACCCCGCCTATGGAGTCCTTACACTCTCCTGTGGGGTGGGCGGGTATCCTGGGGTGCGTGGTGGGATTGCACTTACTGATAAGGTTGGTAGAGTTGGGGGCTCTGAAGAAGTCAGGCAGGTACAGCCACTTGATGAGAGCAGAATTCATGGGGATGGCCTGGCTCCAGCGCCATGGGTAGTCTGTGGGTAGGGGACACATCAGAAAGGGCACAAGCTGTCCTCACCCCCCTCTGCTACCAGGAGTCTCAGAGGCCGATGGCTGTGTCACAGTTCCAGCGTGGTTAGAACCTGTTCTCAACACCACTCACACAGTCCCAAGAACACTGACCCACAGACGCAGAGAGTCCAGCAGGACATGATTTCTAAGCAGAAACTACACCAGGCTTGGGGGGCTGGGGAGGGCAGAGGAGCCCACCAATGGGTCAGAAGGCAGACCATGGTGAGCCTCACCTGAGACAGGGCAGGTACCTCCCAAGGAGATGCCAGTACTTGGAATGAATTATGGTTCAAACAATTTCATAGCATGAAACATATAAAATAATAACCCAAAGCTGGAAATAATCCAGAAATCCTTCAACTATTATGGCACCACACACCCTGAATATTGTTGCTGAGGCAACAACACCCGGAAGAATTCCACCTAAGTGAATATGTACCCCTGAGAGACCCTGTCATCACCTGCTAACAGAAAGCAAACACCTGAGGAATTTTGTCTGCACCCACTAAGAGAAAGAAACCAATCACAACAGAGCACACTGCACCCTTCTACTCTGTGACATTCTGGACTGCCAGAAGATAGACTGATACCCGAGGAAGGGCAGGGCTGATTTCAGAGGGCTGCATTAAGGAGTAATCAGGGTGTTTGGCACACTTGTCAAGAACCAGGGCCCAAGCTTGGCAGTGGTGGTGCATGCCTTCAATCCCAGCACTCAGGAGGCAGAGGCAGGCAGATCTCAGTGAGTTCCAGGCCAGCCTGGTCTACAGGATGAGTTCCAGGACAGCTAGGGCTACACAGAGAAACTCTGTCTCAAAGAACCAAAACAAATAAAGAAATGAATGAACCAGGGCCTTCTGTGAACTCATCAAATCTGAAGGATGGAATACCAGAGTACAACTAGTACTATATCAAACAAAAATGGTCACCAATCTGATTACAGAAGATGGCCAGTTCAGGCATCCTCTCCACTATTGCTGGGAGTCTTAGAGACATAGGATGGGAAACTGAGGTCAGTATGTAAAATAAATGAAAAAAGTGCTATTTAAATAAAACAAGCAAACAAATAAAAAAATAAAATGAAAAAAAGAAAGTGGCCTAGGTACTGTAGGGAGACAGTGACAAACTGGAAGATCACCAAGTGAAGACCCCAGAAGGTGCTGGGAAGAAAGGAACCAGTAAGAGTCACAGAAAACCATGCTTCAAAGGAAGGAGGAGACACCACTAGCCATGTGGACCATAGATAGTGACCTAGTCACAATAGGTCTGTCCTAAAGTCCTGTCTGAATAGGACTGGGGCATTTGTTTACTTATGCAAAGATGTGTTACATTTGTTTATGCTGCATTTGTTTAGTTACGTAAAGATGTGTAACATTTGTTTTACCATGCCTGCCTAAGGCACCTGATTGGGCTAATAAAAAGCTAAACAGCCAACAGTTAGGGAGTAGAGGGACAGGCGGGACTGGCAGGCAGAGAGAATAAGTAGGAGGAGGAATCTAGGCTCCAGAGAAAAAGAGAGAAGAGAAGAGGAGGGAGAAATAGAGGGAGATGCCCAGGGCCAATCAGCCAGGCAGCCACCCGCCAGCCAGACACAGAGTAGGACATACAGAAGGAAAGAAAGGTAAAAGGCTCTGAGGCAAAATGTAGATGAAGAGAAACAGGTTAATTTAAGTTATAAGAGCTAGTGGGACAAGCATAAGATGAGGTGGAGCACTCATAACGAAGAAGAAGTCTCCGTATCATGATTTGGAAGCTGGTTGGTGGCCCAGAAGAAAGCCTGCTACAATACAGGGCAAAGGCCAAACTGAAAACAGCTACAAGAACAAACTGGTGCCATTTTAATACAGACATTTTAATACCTGACATCGGTGCTGCTGCAGTAGGCTGCCACGAGAGGCCACAGCCCTGCAGGCGCACAGTCACCTCAGGAAGCCAACCTCAGGCCAGCACTGTGTGAAAATGTCACAACTAGGGCTCAAGTGGCCCAGAGAGAAGGTGCAGGTCACAGAGGATATAATGAATGCCCTTGACAGGAATCTAGATGTGCCCAGGAAGGAAAAGCCCGTGAGTTTCCATGCAACCACACGTACCAAGCCCCTCAATCCGTGGCTTACCAATGCACAGTGCAGGTGGCATGCCCAGGCACAGCAGGTATTGGTACAGCAGGAACAGTGTAAGGAACAGACAGTAATTGGGCCAGAGGTGGGCGATGGCCTCACGGCGCCTACGCGTAAGGATGGCCACCAGCCAGCAGCCATGTACGATCACCATGAAGTTCATGCGCTGCCCGATCACATTCACGGCCATCAGGAAGCAGATCTGGAAGGGATACAAGGGATGGACATAACGGTAGGAAGGGACTCTTTGACCTGCTCCAGGTCCACAGGCTCAGAGGACCCCTGCCTTGAGGTCATAGAGTGGCCAGTCACCCAGACTACTGTCCTAGGAGGGCAGCAGAGGCGAGACACATCTCCACCATACTTCTAGGATTAGGCCAAGGCTCAGGGATGAGGGGCTCCATGGCTGGGGAAGACTTTAACTTCAGACACTGGCCAGCCTTGGCCTACTCCTCAGGGGGACACAGTTTGAACTCTCTGGCCTTCCTGGGCACTGTGGCGAGCCTCTCAGCTAGCTCAGGGCAGGCTGTGGTAGAGCACTTAGACGTCATTACAGATGCTCCGGTGAGCCTCCTACCATCAGTCCTGACCAAAGGAGTGACGTGCGGACACCCAGTCTCACCTCCAGCCCGAATTTGTAGAAGAAGAAGTTGATGAAGTATTTGAGGCAGCTGAGTAGGTCCCGGTCCAGCCTCTGGCGGGTGCCGTCTGCACACACAGCCTGGGCAGGCAGAGGGGCCCGCTGGTGCTGCCGACGGTGGTGCTCTTGGCGCCGGTACACCACGGCCTCAAATACCAGCAGCAGAAGGATCTGCAGGTGGTTCTGTGAAGGTGGGGGTCAGCAGTCAGTGGGGACCATCAGGGACCATCAAGGACCGTCCGCCCTGGCTGCCAGTCCCCACTCACCTGGATATAACCCAGGTTGGGGTAGCCCTTCCGCACCCCGAACCAATTGGCAGGGTCAACAGGGCCACGGTACAGCAAAGACCGGTTGATCTCCATGGGCTGCAGGTTGGTACTGTTGGGGAAGGGCTGCAAAGAGGGGTGCGCATGAGCCTCAGGTCCCAGGTCAGGATGGAGTGGGGACTGTGGGTGCTATCTTAAACCCATCCCACAGCTGAAGCTCCAGTTGGCTCCAGGGTAGACAACAGCTGCCCCACCAGAGGTTCACAGGGCTGTCAGTCTTGGGACCACTTTGATGGGGAAGGGGACAGGCCAAGGCCAGAGGTGTAAATAGACGCCCGAGAGAAAGGATGGGGCCAGGTGAATATCCGGGCACAGCTGTCCAGAGCATCTCTCTACTCTCATCACTGGTCCAGTGTCTCCACATTCCAGGAGGGATCACTCCAGTTGGGACAACTCCTCAAAGGCCCCTGGGCCCTATGGATGCCTCCCCATGCCTGTACCTCAGTGCAGTTGCTGGAGTACTCGTGTGGGTTGACGATCTTGAGCTGATAGAGCATCTTGCACACAATGATGATACAGGTCCACACAGTGGAGAGGCAGGAGGCCATGGGCCGGAAGCGCGGGTAGGGCAGGGCAAAGGCCCACAGCACCACCAGCAGCAGGTTCATCACAGACACCTGTGGAGAACAGACGGCAGTGGGCTAGATCCACAACTGCCACAACCCATCAGGCCTGGCTGTAGGGCAGCCAGCCAAGCCAGGCCACCAGTGACCCTGCTTCAGACAAGGAAACTGAGCCCAGAATGCTACACTCACTTCTTTCAGGGCCACCCAGACAGTGTAGAAGGCTACCAGCTTGAAGATGTGCAGCTCGAGCAAGCGCCGCACAAACACCTGGATGCGGGTGAGGACGTCAGAGAAGCTGGCCGCTAGGTCCAGCAGCCGGTCAGCCACCAGGCCCCATTTGCTGGCTTCACCTGTGAAGGTGGGGGCTCTGTGAGGAGGGGTAGAGCTTGGTGAAGGGGTGGGCAGAAGTGATAAGGGGTGGGGCTTAGTCAAGAGGTAGAAGCTCAGTGGGATCTGTTAAGAGGGTGGACTGTCCAAGGGGAGGGACTCAGTGATAAAGGAGAGAGTGGGGTTCAGTCAGGAAGGGTAAGGCTGAGAGAGAGGGACATGGCTTGGTGAGTGGATAGGGCTTGGTGAGGAGGATGAGGCTTAGTGGGGATGGGGTGGGGTGGAGCTTGGTGAGGAGGGGCTTGGACTCGAGGAGAAGGGTAGAGCCCGAAAGGAGGGTTGAGTCCTTGGGGCTCAGGTGTGCCTTCCTCAAATCCACATCCAGGAGGTGGCAGAACTGAACTGGCCCACTCCTTGACACCCTGTGTGCCCTGTGGGGCTGTGTTCTGCTCACCCTTTCCAGACTCACCCTCGGGGACCTGTGTGGCCTGGTGGGGCCCATCCATGCCCGGCCCGTCCATGCCCGGCCCGTCCATGCCCGGCCCGTCCATGCCCGGCCCATCATCCCTGAAGACTTCCTCTTCCTCCCCCTGCTGCTGTAGCAGGGGGGCCTGGCTCACTGTGTCCTGCCTGGGGGAATCCGAGAGTCACTTCCTGCCTGTGCTGCCGCCTCTTCTCCCCCTGGGGCAGCCCCCATCTCTGCACAACATCCCCACTGTGCTTCATCGGTGAAACATGGACCAGAACAGCACCACGGCTCCTCTTCAAGCTGAGAAGGCTCAGCTAACCCTGTGACACAGCTCCCAATGTCACCTCCCAGCCCCACAAACTAAGAAAACACGCAGCACCCACGGCCCTTGAAGGCAGTGAACCTGTGAGCCCATCGGGGGCGACGGGTGCCCGGTGGGGGCACGTGCTCCAGGTCAGTGAGCTGCATGAAGGGCCGGTGGAAGTAGTGCAGCTGCAGGATGCAGGCCAGCAGGAAGAAGCCCGGGATGAGGATGCTGGAAAATAGCTCCGACACACTGAACTGCTCCAGGCCCAGGTCCCCCAACCTGGCAGAAGAGAGCCATCAGCACCTCACTCTGCCCTGCCCCAGACCCACGTGAACAGGAGCAGAGCCGAGGCATGGGGTAGGAACCAGGTAAGGTGCCACGGCTGCTCCGAAGGGAGCAGCTCGGCTGCGCCTGACTCACTGCTCATCCGTGAAGCCGGTGAGGTTGCGCCAGTAGGTGGGGAAGTCCTGGAACTGGAAGGTATACACCGCAATGAGCACCAGCATGGTGTAGGCTACCACCAGCCACCAGAAGACACGGAGCAGCTTCCTCCACAGACTGTAGTAGACCTACAGGCGGTAACTGGTGAGCAGGGCAGGTGAGGGACAGAGCCCCACAGCCCTGCCTGCCCATCACGGTGGGCACCTGGAACAAGGTGAGGCACAACAGGAAAAGGAACATGTAGACGATTTTGTAGACCACCAGGCGGCCCGCGAAGCTGACCACGATGAACATGCCAGCGCACACGTAGATCCAGTACTTGGCATAGATGCCTGTGACCAGCTCCCCCAGGCTCCGCAGCAGTGTCTGAGTCTGTGTGGGCTCTGCAGAACAGGACAGAAGGCAGAGTGACGGCCTTGGCAGAGAGAGGACAGTGGGGGTGGAGGCCGCCCCACCCCCACATGCTACTCACCTGTCTCTGCCACTGTGACCTCCAGCAGTCCAACAGGCACCTTGGCCTTCTTCAGCAGCTTCTCCTTCACAAATTGGCGCAACAGGAGCCAGAATGTGAGCAGGTAGAGCAGCTGAGGGGAGCAGGAGTGTCACCGAGGACCCAGTCCGTGACATAGGGCCATGGAAAGCCCTCAGCCCCTCCCATGGCCACGAATCCAACCTCACTCACATGTGTAGGCTTACATGGCCACAGATCCACATGAAAGCCTCACAGACCCAGGTTCACAATCTTACATACTTCGGCCAAACTCACATGTTTACGCTCACATGCATACAGCTGTTCATACTAGTACACATATAGGCTCACAGTCTCACGAGATACATTACAATCCATCAGCCCACAAACAGTGGGCAGGCATCAAGACACTGTTAAACACCTGCCTCATGCAGGAACACCTGGGTGACTCAAGAACCAACTGACCAGACACAAGTCACGGACACCCAGAGTCATATAATGGAGCCCTATCAGGCAGGCAGAATACACAGGGACTTCCACAGCATCAAGGACATGGAGGTAGCATCTGCAACAGCACATGCCAGTCACTCAGCAAACAGGCTTTGAACACATACACCACATATGTGTATTTGGTTTTTTTGAAACAGGGTTTATCTGTGTAGCCTGGGCTGTCCTGGAACTTACTCTGTAGACCAAGCTGGCCTCACAGAGCTCCACCTGCCTCTGCCTCCCCAGTACTGGAATTGAAGGCATGCACTGCCACACCCAGCACAACTTCTATATTCCAGGGTGGACCCATAGTAACTCAATGTTGACCTAAGACATACTCTCCTATGGCTGGACGGTGGTGGTGCACGCCTTTAATCCCAGCACTCAGGAGGCAGAGGCAGGCCTGGTCTACAGAGTGAGTTCCAGGACAGGCTCCAAAGCTACACAGAGAAACACTGTCTGGAAAAACAAAAACCAAAAAAACCCCAAAAACCATACTCTCCTATAGTCTCTACCCAATTGAACAAGTGACCAGTTAACACTATTATCCTCCTGGGTTCCCAGGCAAAAATCCCACCACTGCCCAGATGTGGCAGATGACACTCACCATGGCACCAAGGTCCAAGCAGGGGTAGCGTGTGTGCTCCAACCCCAGCTGGTGCAGGCTGACAGGGCCCAGGGTGGTAGGCAGCTCGGGGAGTTCCATGGCCCACACATAGCGCAGGCAGCAGAGTGTCAGCCCATACAGCAGGATGCAGGGTGAGCAGAGCATGGCCAGCTGGTGGCGGCTACGCACGGTCCAGATGAGGCAGGCCCAGAGCAGCAGCACGAAGGTCAACCAGCTGTGGTATGTGATGCTCCACACCTGGACAGCCAGCGTCAGTGAGCAGGGACTGCATGGGACACCTGGCCAGCTCCTCAGCTGTAAGGCCCCCATGAGGTAATCCACATACAACATTGTGTATACATGCACTGCACACACATATGTGGGACGCTGGTAACTTCCACGGACAATTCCAGCACTGTTTCTAGTGACAAGACTGTGGGCCTTAGTTTCTGAAATTAACTACATCCCACCTCCCTGCATTCTATAAGAAAATGGCAGTGACCCTGGGGGCTGCTCCTTACCATCATGGCAATCAGGGCACACACATAGCTCTGGTCCATGATGAGGCGGCCCAGGCCATGTAGTGGTGACATCTCTTTCAGCTCAGCCAGCCTGGAGCGTGCTGGGGGTGGGACTGAGATTAGCTACCACATAGGAACCCTTTGGAGTCCCTCCCTCCCCCATATTCAGTGTGGTCCTAAAGCATGGAGCGGGCCACCTGCACTTGGCTGGGCCTTACAGGTGGGAGAGGGTCAGGCCCACCAGGCAGTCATAGTGGATGCTGGCCAAAAATCATCATAAGAATCTGACCCTTCTGGAATGTCATGTGTCTCTGGCCGGACCCTACTGGCCTCACTTTTTAAGACTCTGGTGCAGGAGATAGCCCTTTCAGATCTGTGACTCCCATGCATCACACAATGACAAGTTGCATAAGTGAAGGTCAGGAGATGTAGCTCAGTAGTACAGTATAAAGCCAGGTACACAAGGTCCTGCAGCCAATCTCCAGTATCAGAAAATAATCTCAACCCCAGAGTTCAAAGTAGAGGTCTGCAAGACTGCTCAACAGGTTAAGGTGCCTGCCACCAAGCCTGAGGACCTGAGTTCAAGACCCATAGTAGAAAGAGAGAACCAAGTCCTGCAAGTTGCCCTCTGACTTCTACATGCATACAATAGCTTGACACACTCCCCCCCACACAATAAATAAATAAATGTAATTAAAGAGTTTTTAAAGTTCAAAATAAAGAAGTAAGAACCCAGAAAAATATCTAGCAGTCTCCACAGAAATGCCAATCAGTGAAACTCCCAGGCCCATACTCCCAGGACAACAGAGGCTCTGGGACCCTGGAGAGCCATCCAAAGGGTCTTGGGGATCAGCTACTGAGCCATAGGACTGGCCCTGTGAGGTTTGGGCATAAGGCAAGGAGTGTGTATAAGACCTATGACCACCAGGGGGCAGTCCTAGACTTGCCCACAGAGAGATCAGAGCAAAATGGGCCCCTGCTAATAAGTGTTCACAGGAAGGCATCCTCCTGGCCACCGGGCCTCTGACTCACCGGGACGCTGGCGGACAGGACTCTGGCTGGTTAGGACGTGCACAGTGCAGTTGTCAATGTCAGGTCCTGTGGACGTGGGTATCACAAACTGCAGAAGACATGTGGGTGAGCTAGTGGCTGCAGGCGGTTCCCCATGACTTTGGGATACCCATGACCACCTGCTCACCTGGCTGGCATCCCTAGCCTGGGGCTCTAGCTCCAGCTGGTCCAATTCCAGTTCATGTTCCTCATCCTCCCTAGGTGCCTCCTTCTTCCTCTGTAGAGACCAGAACCCTGAGTACCAGTCCTGGAGCTGGGAGGGCCCCAGGCTATCTGCCTTAGGACCTCCGCCTCACCAGCGTAGCAGAAGCCAGCAGAGGTAATAGCAGGGACTTACCAGGTCTGAGGGACGGCTTTTACGGAGCTTCAGGAGAGAGGTGGCTGTGTAGTACAGCAGCAGCAGGATACCAGGGCTCACGTAGATGGGCCAGGAATGGTTAGTGTTGAGCACCAGCACGTTGGGGCTGGTGCAGTTAGGGAGGTCTATGAAGTTCTTGAGACCGAACACCCTGTTCAGAGAGAGGGCATGTCCCTCACTGCCAGCTTTGAGGGCAGCAGAGCCATGGCTGGGTAGGAAGGCCCATATGGAAGCCTTACCTGGCCCAGATGCTGCCAGGTGGCAGCACACCCTGGACAAAAGCTGTCTGGTAGCAGTAGAGGCAAAGGAGATGGCCGGCGCCAAAGCAGCTCACCATGACACAGAGTGTGTTGAAGCCCAAGGAACTGAGAGGAAAGTGGCAGGCCCACCACGTGCAGATGGCCAGGAAGACCAGCAGGTAGACACTGGAGAAGGCCGAAGGGTGGGCTATACCTACAGGGTGGGGGAGCACAGGCCCTCGGGGTCATGCTTGGCCTGGCCCATCAGGGAGCTCTGCGTCACCTCCCCATGCCAGTCAGTGTCAAGACTCTATCCCCTCTCTAGAGTACCTGCCAGCGCCAGCAGCACAATGGTCAGCATCCTTCCAAAGGCCATCAGCAGCCAGTGGGCTGTGACCCGGAAACGGGAGCTCAGCCACGGCCTGTGTTTGGTTGCCAGGGCAGGGGCTCCCTGGAGCCCCACCGCTGGGGCAGCATCCATGTCGTCATCATCCTGCTAAAGTCATGGGGAAGTGACATTATGGTGATATTTTATTCGTACTGAAATGTGATTTTATTTGTATGTTAATAAATAAAGTTGCCTGGGGGTCAGAACTAATAGCAAGCCATTGCAGAAGCTGGGTGGTGGTGGTGCACGCCTTTAATCCCAGCACTTGGTAGGCAGAGCTAGGTAGATCTCTGTGTGTTCAAGGATACAGCCAGCATGGAGACACATGCCTTTAATCTCAATACCAACCATAGAAGACCTGGAGGTCTGTACAGACAGGCAGTGACGAGGCGGTCATGTGGTTGGGTTTACAACCAATGAGAGAAGGCAGAACAGAAAGTCTTTATAAAGACGGACACACAGGAAGTAGGTCTCTTTCGGAGAGGTAGGACCACCGCGATAGTGAAGGGTAAGGTTTTTAGCTCTCAGCTATTGCTCTGACCTCTTGGCTTTCATCTCTGTATTGGCTCTGTGTTTCTTATTTAATAAGATGGCTGGTTACTTCTACATGACATCATCGCCATAAGGCTGCTCCAGTCTCATCTGCCTAGCTGAGGTAAAAGATAAGGCCTGTGCCACAGCTGCCCCTCTGATGTTGCCCACAGCCTGACACCCTGGCAGAGCTTCCTCTCTGCCCAAGCCTTTCTCCCTTCTCACTAGAGCTCTGTCACTAAGTGTCACCCTTAGGGCCCCATCCACAATCCTGGCGGGCCAGGCACAGGATGACCCAGCTATTCTGGAACACTTCAAGCATCTCTTTTTGTCCCATCTTGGGTCACGATGCCCTAGAAGCCAGGACAGCCTCCCAGACCCCAAATCTGTTCCTGCAGACCCTACGTCAGTTTTGTTCGGCTCCTGGGAAGAAACTTTCAGGAAGCAGGGAAAGAACATGTACACATGCATACCACATGCCCTACACTGCAGTCTTTAGAGCACCTTCAGACCCACAGTCCTTGACCCAGAGGTGACAGGTGACTTCCCCAATCCCACAGGTCAGGGAGAGCAGGGCTACATTTCTATCTTATGGGGCCTCTAGGGAGTGGGGGTAGGGGGCCTGGGAGGCACAGCAGCATCAGGACCTCCAGCTCTCCAACTAGTCAGTTCCTAGTCTTCCCACACCGCAGAGAAAGTGTTCCATGTCCCGAACTGCTGCTGACCTCTTTGACCCTCCAGAATGACAGCAGTGACCAGCTACCTGAAAAGAAACAAGACAGTCCCTGCCTGGGGCAGGAGACCGAGACCTGACAGGATCTGTTTTCCCTGGCACTGACGGAAGGTTTCCCAGAACAGAGTTGCATCCCAGGCCTCGGGGAAAGCCAGAGTATGGTGGAAAAGAACACAAACTGTCGTCAGCAGCCCTAGCTCAAGCCAGCCGCTGGCAGCCCATGTCCCCAGCTGTGCCTGTGGGGACAGTTGGGGGGTTATTGGGGACTTGGGCTGAGTACGCTGCTTTGGAGCTAGATGGCATGGGCACCTCCCATGCTCCAGCTGTCTCTATGCTGGAGAGTCTGAGAAAAGTTGCTCAACCTCTCTGAGTCTGCTTCCCTTCTTGCAAAGAAAGCTGTGGAGCCTGGGCATGAAAAGATGAGGCAGCTATCAAGGTCCCAGGGATGTACTATTTATCATCGACTAGAAGCGGGAGGGCTGGAGGTCAGGCCAGGAGACAGAATAGCTTGTCCCTGAGCTCCCCTCTTCTACAAGCCCTTAGAAGCTGGAAGTAAGGCCAAAGAGGACCTGGAGGAGGAGGAGCTGAGGGAGAAGGGAGAGCTATACTCTGCTAGTCAAGGGGGAGAGGAGATGCCCCTGGGGTAGAAGATATGATGACCTGGCCTAGTCCTGGGAACTCCTTTTTTTGTTTTTTTGAGACAGGTTTTTTTCTGTGTAGCTCTGGCTGTCCTGGAACTCGCTCTGTAGATCAGGCTTGCCTTGAATTCACAGAGATCTGCCGGCCTCTGCCTCCCTAGTGCTGGGATTAAAGGTGTGCACTACCATGGCCAGCTTATGGACTTTATTTTTGAGACAGGGTCTCACTGTGTAGCCCTGGCTGGCCTCCAGGCTCTGGGAACCTCTTGAGAGCATGTGATAAACCTCTTGTGATAAATGAGCAATTGTAGGCATAGGAAGACAAGGACAGCTGTGACAGAGGGACAGATGCCCCCAAGCCACCTGATCCTCACAGCTCCACCCAGCCCCCAACCTCCTGAGGCTTCTGGAGTCCCTTCCACTCTCTGGTTTCCTCTAAAGCCTAGCAAGTGTCAGGTGTTGATAAATGGATGCTGGGACCTGGTGTCTGAGAGCAGGGTGTGCCTGCACCAAGACACCTGGGTGGCCATAAATCCTATCTCAGCTGGGGGGATGGGGGAACAGGCTAAGGCTGGCATGGTGTGGGAAAGCTGGACTGCAGACCTTGAGCAGGGCTCAAAGGTGCTGAGTGTCCAGCTGTGGTGCCTGGGAACAGCGGCAGGCCCCTGTCTCTCCCTAAAAATAAGCTCGATGAGAGCCCCAGGTCATGCAGGGAGGCAACCGCAACCTCCCAGGTTCTTACCCAGCATATTTCAGCTCGGCTGATGCCCACAAGTGACAGTTGCCAGAGAACAGACCCACTTCAGGGTTCTGATGATTGAGAACTGGGGTCCTGCAGAGCAGGCCTCCCGTGAACAAAGCCACATGACTGAAAGTGGAAGAATGTGGCAGGGCATGTTTTCCTCATCAAAACTGTCAGAGTGAGTGGGACTTCAGCACAACACCCTCACCACGACGGCTGCTGCAGTCCCTTACCAGCTCCTGGGTGCGCTGGCTCTGCCGAGCCTGCCTGGTGAAGCGCGAACAGAGGCCAAGGCAAAGAGAGGACACCACTAGGACTCCCAGGTCAGGCGCCACCAGCCTGGTGGTGTTAAGGATGTCCTGTAGGTCGTTCAGGCCCAGCCTGTGAGGGACAGGGAGGACAGAGTGGGACGAGGGGATGGGGACATGCCCAGGCTATCCTTGGGACTGAGAACCCCAAGGGGAGGCTGGCAGGGGGTGAGGAAGTAATGAGGGTCTTACCTTGTAACTCCTATGTGTCGAGACACCTCCCAAAGGCTGCCTGTAGAGAAAAGAGTTGAGGAAGAGGTTCCAGGCCAGGCAGGATGCCCAGTGGTTGTTCTGGTGGAGGCCAAGGGGCCCCGGGGGCATGGCTGCTAGGGAACTCACGTAGAACAGAGGATCAATGATTCAGGAATGCTGAAAATGTCAACCTCTTTTGTTTGTTTGTTTTTGAGACAGGGTCTCTCTTGTAGTCCTGGTTATCCTAGAATTTACTCTGTAGACCAGGCTGGCTTCAAACTCACTGTGATCCTCCTGCCTCTGCCTCCCAAGTGCTAAGATTAAAAGTGTGTGCCACCATGCCACCATTACAGATAGAGAAACTGAGGCCAGTCAGGTACTTATGCTGCTTGGTTGGTCCATTGGCTGTGAGGGGCAGCACAGAGACTCCCAATCGTGGGGGGAGGGCTGGAAATGGCCTGTGAAGCTGGACTGGGCTCCAGAGTGGTAGAGACCTGAAACCCAGGACTTCTACACACAAAGCTGGTGTGCAGGCATCAGCCCCTCCCTGACTAGAAGTGGAGACACTGTCCCTGGGTATAGGGCAGGGACACTGAGGAGTCCTCGTGTCATACAGCCACATGACTAAGCTACAAGTAGACACAGGAGGAAGATGTTGACAGGTGGGGACACCAGAAAGCCTGAGGCTGTTCCCACCTGATGCCACTCTGGGACTGGCCTGGCCCCACTGACCACATCACTGCCAGGAATATGCAGGCTAGGCCATCTGGGTCACACATAAATGGTGACCAGGCACCAGGGGCTGCCCATATTAGGTGAAGGCTGAGTGAGGCAGGGTGGCCCAATGAGGCTGGAAGCCTGAGGTTCCAAGCTGGCACCTCATCCATCCCCTCTATCCCAGGACTGCTGTCCTCAAGTGCCCCTCCCCGGCTCTGCTCCTCAGTCACTTACAGTTTTGTTCCAGAAGCTGTTTCAGGTGAGGCATTGTGTAGAGGCATATCTGGAAGGCAAGGTGGGCCACCAGGAAGAGAAGGCTGAGGCAGAGTAGTGCACGAAGTAGGCGGCCCGTGTGACCTGTGGCAGAGTGGGCAGAGCAAGGATCAGTGTGGATACTGCCTAGGCTAGTAGCCTCCTTGTCCGTGTGCCTAAGACATACAGTCAGCATGGACACAGGGCCTGGGCAAGGGGGCCAGCCGCAAGAAACCAAGACTCATGGCACCTTCCAGGAGGCAGCGGGAGCCTCCAGTGACAAGAATAGCCCACACAGGGTACATGTTCCCTCCTGGTGCCTGGTTGGTGGACACTGTTGTAACCCTGGTTTATAGATGAGGATGTCATCCCAGAATGGGGAAGGGACTGGCAGAGACTGTTTAGGGGTCTCTGGGGAGCAACTCTGGCCAGTTGCTACACTGGCTTTGCTCCCTACTGTCCTGTTGCATGCAGAGGCACCCTGCCCCTCAGAAGACCAACAATGAACAAGAGAGACACAATTTAATCTTCTTATTTAGCTATCACAGGGATGCCAGTGCTAGGTCTTGGAAACAAGGAGGAAGAAACAAGCAGAGAATAGGAAGCCATTATCTACCACAGCCATGCCCACCTGCCCCTGCACGGAGGCTGGAAATGAGGGCATGAAGAAGGTGGTACCCCAAAGAAGGGGCCTGGGTGGTGGGGGCCAGATGGCCCCCAAGAAGTGGGTCGCCAGCTGCCTCCATCTGGGGTGTTGCAGAGCAGAAGCTTCCACAGTCATACAAAGTCAAGACAAACAGGACGCATGCCCCAGCTGCAAGCCCCAGCCTCAGGCCGCACTGAGTGAATACCTGCCCTCAGAGATCTTATTTCACTGATTACTTCATGGGAAAGAAATAAGCCAGCAGTCAGCCATCAAACCATGGGACCCTGACACATGGGGACATATTGTGTTTGGCAGGCTATACACGCACACCAAGGGCGTTCTGCAGCCCTGTTCTGCCTCTAGCCACCCTAGCCAGCCCAGTCAGCAGGGAGGCCCTTGGCTGCAGACCAGGCTAAGTGGCCATAGCTGGTCAGGGAGGACATAGGGCCCGGTCCTTGCCTCTGTCCTCTGAGAGTGGGTGGGCAACTCACATGTGGACAGAGACTGGGGCCAGCTTCTAGCTCTTCACCTGCTGGCAGTCAATCCACTCCAGCAGTCCTGTCAAACCGGCCACAGGGCTACTGAGGCCATCAGCATGGAAAGCCTCAGAGCCACATGTCTCCCATGAAGGCAGCCCAGCAGCATCACACCTGTCCTTTCTCCCCACATGGCTACCACTGCCAGTATGTCTGTCCTGTGCAGTTTCTTGGGCACAGTCCAAGAGTGTGGCATAGACTCAGAATTGACCTTGGTCCCTGCTGGGATAGCCTCATGGGTGACACCCACTCCTTTTTTTTTCTTCCCTGTAGTTCCCACCCAGAAGGTTCTGGGACTCAGCCACATTGTGCGTATGGCCAGGTGCCCCTCTCTCACTGACTCCCTGGGCTAAGCCTTGGGCACCAGAGAGCAGGGTGGTACTCCAGCTGTGGCTCAAGTACTCTCCAGTGCCCAACCTCTGGGAGGGCATTGGAGGACAGAAGAGACAAGCCTGACCACAGGACAAGACCAACACCAAGAGCAGTCCTGACATCAGGGCTGGGAGGATCAGGCCCACATAGAGCTCCAGTAACATTGAGAGGCGAAGGTGTGGCTGAAGAACCAGAAAGGAGGGTCCTAAGGAACCTATGGTAGGTCCTGAGTGCTAGGAAGGACAGGCACCATGTGCAGAGGTAGGAGCTGTCCCAGCTCAGCTATGAATAGTACAGCATGCACTGTGGAAGATCTGTCCTACAGGGCACGGTCCTTAGAAACTACATGAGAACCACAACTGCAGGGGTTCCACCATGTTGCCACATAAGGGCTCGTCAGGATAGATATGAGTGGGGTGGGGGGATCAGAAGTGGCGCCCACTGAGATGACATATGAGGGGAGAAGGCATGTGGCGGAGGGTGGTAGGTGATCTCAGTAATGGAAGAAGCCCCGTGGAAGTTAGAGGGCAGTGGGTCTCTGGGAGAGTCCTCCCGGGCCAGACCTTACAGAGGCAGTGTTCACAGTAGGGGCTGGAAGTGGAGTGAGGATGTCTAACGGCATGTGGGGCCCAGCACCAGGACAGAAAGAGGTGGCTCAGCGTGGCAGCCTCTGCAGGATAAACCCTGACCTCTAGAACAACCCTGACTCCTGGAGGTGGCTGGATGGGCAACTCTGGAAAGAGCTCTCCACCACCACCACCACCAACCAGCTGGGCAGGGGTCCTGCTGAGCCTGGGGAATCTCCACTCTCAGCGGAGAGGCAGCCCGTGCTCGGTCCTGGCCACAACCCATGAGGTAGCAGTAAACCCTGCCCATCTGACAGGAGAGTAAGTGTAGGCTCCAAGAGACAGGGGAGCTCCCAGGTTTAGCCACTCTTCCCACTCACTGTCAGCACCCAGGTCCACACTGGGTCCTTCACAGACCCACGTGCCTCCATGGGCCCAGAGTCTCAAAGCCCTGAGTTTCCTATCACATCACATCTGACTCCTTTTTAGGCAGGGCCTCCTCTACCAGCCTGACGGCCCCCAGCCGCTCCCCTGTCCTGGGAAGAGAGTGCATTGGACTTAGCCAAGCTCATCCAAGGCCCAGGATGACAGCTACCTTTGTTCCTGGTCACCTTTCTTTCCTACCACACACTGGGCCCTGACCCATTGGCTAGATGGAAGAAGCCCATCATCAAGGAAGGGACTGCCATCCCATACTAGGGAGGTAATACCCCTATACCATTCAGGCAAGGAAGGGGCTCAGCACAGCAACGCATATCCACCAGCAGAGAGAGATGGACTATTATGTGCGCTTCCTAGAAAAAAAACAGGAAGTGAGCTGGGGTATGGGTATTCTAACAGCAGGGAGGATAGCAGACCAGGCACCTGACCTATGGCCTTGACCCTGCTGGAACTCCTACATCCACTGATCAGTCAGTAGAGGCTCAGAGGTGCTTCCCCATATTCTTGCCTCCTTCCCACCTTCTGGAGCCTTTCATGCCCTGCCCCCAATGACCGCAGCCCCCACTAGACCTCACTCAGAACAGACTCCAGCACTTCCCACCCCTAGGCAGAGGCCCCACTCCACAGTATGTCATGAGCTGTTGGCAAATACTACCCTTCTAATGTGAGCTGGGCCAGGGTGGGCTGCCTAGGGTCCTCGGGAGGGAAGGAACGTCTTTGGTACATCTGACTTCACACTCTGAAATGGGATGAAGAGAGGATAGGGCAGGGATCACACCACAAGTCTGAACTGAGGATCACCCAGCAAGGGGAAGAAGCTGGGGAAGGCCTCTCCCCTCTGCTCTGGAGCAAAACATGGATAAATCCAGAGACCACGAAGCCAGTTGTGACCCAGCAAACCTAAGCCCCAGTCTCAGGGTGCAGGTTTCTGTCCTGGGAGGGCAAGGCAGTCTGCTCACAGGCCTGGGATCCCAGTGTCATTTGGTTACCTACTGATCAACTGTATGTCACCTCACTATCCCTCTCCCAGTCATAGGCCTAGGAAGTTCACATGGTACCTAACAGCTAAGAGCCACAGAGGTACCTGCAGGGCAGGGCTCAGCGTTGTAGCTTCCCAGGGCTGAGTAGGAAGACAGTACGTCCAAAGCAGGGGATGGAATCTACACAGGGTGTGTGTTGCGGGGGGATGGGGGGGGAGGGTTACCAAGGGACTGGTGAGGTTAAGACTTGAGCAGGCCCCCTTGGGGAGAGTAAGGAATTGGGGGTCAGAGATCAAGGGCAGCCTGGGAGGTGAACTCTGCCAGGGCAGGCAGTGGGCTTCCTCGCTCTAATTACAAGCAGGTGTCTGAGAACAGATCCCACACAGCATGGGTTCTGATGCATCCCAACTCTGTCCTGTCCTGCCTGGGACACCCAGCCCTAAGCCGATCCAGCATCTCCTCTCTGTGCAGCCCAGCTTAGGCCCAGACCCTGAGAATCAGGCAGCCGCCTACGTGGGGAACAGGGCCCAGCAGTGTCAGACCTTCCAGGGGCCAGTGCCAGGGCAGCAGCTGCACAAATCATAAACGCACACAGGGCGCTCCATTCTGCACCGTCGGGCTTCACATTTTCCTCTCACACCCGGAAAAACCAGGCAGCAGCATGTCTCTGAAGGGCCTCTGAGGCTGGACAGACAGACAGATGGAGGGTCGAGTGGGAAAGACTTCCCACCCTGCCTTCCAAGTCTCCCGCGTGATCCCTCCTGCCTGGCTGGGAGTCTGTACCTCCCACGGTTGATCAGGAGTGTTTCCAGCTGCTCACAGGGCATGAAACAGTCTCGAGACAAGTGGTTTCCAGAAAGGACCTGGGGACAGAGGAGCTGGGCTCTGTGGTGAGCAGAGTATGGAAGCTAGACCTTCACCAGAGGCTCAACAGAGGAGAAAGGGCCCAGCGCCTAGGCTGTGTGTCTTCACGGGATCTGGCCCAAGGCCCCAGTGGTTGTCAACACCCTGCTCAGGCTGAACTCCCAAAATACCTGTCCCCAAATGCCCAAATCCTACCCATGCTCTACGACCCCTTCTGGTTCCAAAGCACACTGGGCTGGGCAGGAGTTGCCCTCCCTGTGATGCCCTCATTGGCAGAAGGATGGACCCAAAGGCATCCCTGCCCAGTCTCTGCCCCCATGCACATGTGACTCACACGGCAAAAGGGACCAAGGCAGAGGTGGGGCTGATGTCACAGCTAACTCAACAAGGGGAGACTGTCTTGGACCATCAGTGACTGTCATCACAGAGCATTAGGAGTGAAGAGGGCTGCAGGGCCATGGGACATGGAAAGGATTCAGTTGGCCATGGTGGCTTTGAGGTAGACGGTGTCATGAGCCAAAGATGCCCCCAAACAAGAAGAGACAGGAAGCTGATCCCTGGAGCCCTCTAAAAAGGCACAGTTGGGCTCATATCCTGACTGCAGCCCCAGAAGCCACTGGGTCTGACTTCCAGCCTGTGGGTATGGCTCTCAGCAGGGTGACTTGTTCCAGAAACCACCGTAAGCTCCCTCTCACTGGGGCCCCACACAGCGAGGCACACTGAGTCCAGCACCTCTGAGGGCAGTGCTGAGGATGTAAATGCCTTTCCTGGGCCCCAGGCAGACACAGCCAGCTCTGATCCTTGCTGACCCACAGACACTGGCTACTACACTTGCTGTGTCTCCTGGGAGCAGGGTCTCTCACTCTGATGCCAGCTCTCCCCAGGTCACTGCCTTAAACTGCAGCTCTGACCTCCCCATTCAAGTCCAGGAGACAACGGAGGGCCTTCTCTACTTCAGGAATACAGGTCAACTTGGGGAAGGGTCACTGAGCACTTACTGTTACTGAATACCACAAAACAGACTCTGTGCGCCAAGAGCATAGGTGATAGAGCAAGTATGAAGGGTCTCAGGAGGTCCTGCCACTCTGAGACCTGCCTGGCCTGTGGTCTTCTCTCCAGGACACAGTGGCCCTCCCCTTCCCACCTCACCCTATGTGGGAACTTGAGGCATAGTAGCAGCCTCTCCCTAATTTGCTGTGGTGCCAATCCCTCCTATGGACAGGACTCTGGGGCTGGCCTGCATACTGTCTATTGTTTGGAAGGCACAAAACAGTGAAACATGTCCCTGCCCAGCTCAGACCCTGATGGAGCCCACAGCCGTCCAATTCCTTACATAGCAAGGTGGTATAAGGTAGAGCCTGGCTTTACAGGGTGATAGAGTCAAGCTGGCCAGAACCTCCCCAGACAGAAGAAGCAATGTAGTCAGTCCTGGGAGCTTAGCTGGAAGACGGTATGGACCCCAGTGCAAAGCCCTAAACCTTCTACCTAAATGGGACACCAGGACCAACTAACTCCCTCTGCCTTCTGAGGGATATTCAGTGACAGATGGGGATCCACATACAACCCTTCCCCTGTCACCTTCAAGAATGATAGAGCCCCCCCCGCCACCGCCGCCTCCCCGCTCTGTGACAAGCAGTCAGCAGGAAAACAAAACAAAAAAAAAAAACCTGAACTGGCTGCGAGTCTGCAGTGAAGAAGTAACCCTCGGTCCGCTCAGTAGTTACCAGGCTGCTAAAATGGAGTCAAATCTGTGGCTATACAGTGCTTATCCAAATACCCAGCCCCTTACCCTGTGGTCAGAGTCCCCTAAGGAGCTGGGCTCCGCCCCCACTCCCCACCCCTGCCCCTTACCTGGTATGCTGTGTCTTGAGGGGCCTGGAAGCCAGGGCAGCAGCAGCAGAAACAGCAAATAGACCAGTGAGAGGGCATTGAAGCGCAGCAGGGAGGCTAGAGGAGAAACAAACGGTTAGTACACACGGCAGCAATACGGGCAACCCTCACCCTGAGGGGCGGGGATGGGCAGTGCTGCCCCAGCGCCCCTTTCTCACCCCTGTAAGCCTGCATACACAAGGCTTGTGCACCACAGACAGAAAATCCATGCTCCTGTCACCAGGCACACAGGTTCCATGATACCACACGATTCTCCCAACACATGTATACACACAAGGTTCTGACCACTCAACACACCCCTACACACACGGAACTCTGGTGTCTGCTCCTTCTTAACTTGCTTTTCCTTCTTTTTAAAGTTTTGTCTGTTGATTGGCAGGCAGCTCAACTGATGTCTGGGCCCACAAACGAACATGTGGGAAGTTACCAGGCCACAGAGACTTCTGGCACCCCTCCTGGGTCTCAGTGATGGAACTAGTTGAGCAATACTTAACCTAGCTTCCCAGCACTCTGCTGGCAACTGCATCCCTACCCGTGCCAACATACAGCACAGCTTCCCTCTGGTAACTTCCCTAACACTCATGCTGTCCTACACTGTCCTGGTGAAGTCCGCCAGGGAGGCCAAAGAACCTGAGGTAGAAAGCAGAAACGTGGCTGGCCACTTACCAAATGAGTAATTTTCTTCCCAGAAACATGGGGTTTTCCAGGAGACAAGGTTCTAGGACCCTATGCAGTTCTCGGCCCCAGGGGTACTAGGCCATTCTACCTGTCCTTGGGAGTACACAATGAGCCAAACCAAAGAGATTCTACATTCTGCCGGACCCCAGGCACACACAGTGCCATTCACAAACTCGAAGCCATCTCCTTGCCCCTTCGACAACTCAGGCAATTTCAACCTATAGAAACTGACTGCCCTCAATGGGCAGGGATAGCAGAAGATGAGCTAGGAGCCAGGGTGCATCACGAACCTTGATCCCCTCCTGGACAACACAATCCTAGCACTGGACTGTCCAGCATCATCAACCCTACTTCACTATCCCACTGAGTGGTCTCCTGGGGGCATCCTCCATGCTCACACTCCCCAAGTATGAGAACCATGAGCCTAACAACAGCTCTGGACAGCCAGGGTGGACCTGAACTTGGAGACAGAAATTGGCCACAGAAACAGGCTCTGCTGGAAGGACGTGGCAGGGACCCAGAGTGTGCAGTGCATTAAAAAATAAGCTGAGCCAGGTCACCTCCTCAGGGAATGGAGAACAGAGTGAGTGACATTGCCCACTTTGGGTCGGTGACTCCATGAAGGACACTCCTCTGTAATCCCATCTGAATTCAGCCTGCACCCTTCCCAAAGCCCCCCCAGTCTTCCTCCAGAACCACAGTGGACATAGGATGTATCCAAACTTCCAGGGGCACCTGCTGCTTCAAGGAGTCTGAGGGTTTTGGCTATGGGCAGCACTTCTCTTGGCTCCAAAGGGCCTCCCTGGAGTCAGGGTGCGGTCTTTCTCCACTATATATATTAGCTACCATGCACAGCTCAGCTCTCTTAAATTTTAAGTTTTCAACAATAATACATTTTTAAAAAATCAATCTTCCTGGCCCAAGAGGCAGGAGGGAAGTGCATTTATGGCAAAGCTTTCCAAAATCCCTCTGCTTTTCAGTCACATCAGGGCAGTCCCGCCCATCTTAAGAAGGCAGCACTCTCCCCTCACACCAGCCGGGATGGCTTCTTCTCCATCTGTCCACCTATCTTATCCAGCCGCCTGCCCGCTCGTCCATTCATCCACAGGTCCCTGAGAACTTTCTCCCGACACTAATGTTACAGGTCCTGCGTCTGAGGACACTGGTTTGTCTGATATACCAAGAATGTCAGCACTGAGCCAGTCCAAGTACATGAGGGGTGGTGATCAAAAACCCATGACAGGGAGCTGGGGAGAAGAATCAGTCAGTAAAATGCTTGCCACATAAGCATGAGGACCTCAGTTTAGATTACCAGAACCCACATAAAGAGATGAAAAGCCAGGCTAGGAACATGTCTCAGTGGCTTACCACACAAGCCTGATGACCTGAGTTTGGATTGCCAGGAGCTGTGTAAAAGCCAGATGTATTACTACATACACCTGCAGTCCCACTGTGGTTCTGGAGGAAGACCGGGCTTTGGGAAGGGTGCAGGTGAATTCAGATGTGCTTACAGAGGAGTGTCCTTCATGGAGTCACCAACCCAAAGTGGGCAATGTCACTCTGTTCTCCATTCCCTGAGGACGTGACCTGGCTCAGTTTATTTTTTAATGCACTGCACACTCTGGGTCCCTGCCATGTCCTTCCAGCAGAGCCTGTGATCCCAGTGCACCTGTAGCCCTGGTGCACCTGTAATCCCGGTGCACCTGTAGTCCCGGTGCACCTGTAGTCCCGGTGCACCTGTAGTCCCGGTGCACCTGTAGTCCCGGTGCACCTGTAGTCCCGGTGCACCTGTAGTCCCGGTGCACCTGTAATCCCGGTGCACTTGTAATCCCAGTGCACCTGTAATCCCGGTGCACCTGTACCAGGAGATGGGCAGCAGAGAAAGGAGAATCACCAGAGGCTGTCAAGCCAGCTAGCCTGGGCAAAAGCAGCAGTGAGACCAAAAAAAAACAAGCCGGGCGGTGGTGGCGCACGTCTTTAATCCCAGTACTGGGGAGGCAGAGCCAGGCGGATCTCTGTGAGTTCGAGGCCAGCCTGTTCTACAGAGTGAGTTCCAGGAAAGGCGCAAAGCTACACAGAGAAACCCTGTCTCGAAAGACGGAAAAAAAAAAAAAAAAAAAAGCAGCAGTGAATAACAGAGAAACCATGTCTCAAACAAGGTAGGAGGTGAGGATCAACATGCAAGGTTGCCTTTTGACATCCATGTGCATGCTGTGACATGCACGCACCGGTGTTCACACACACATAAACTCACAGACACACTTAGATTATACAAGATAGATCGATAGACAGAGGCATACAAAGCTGTGTGGTGGTATAGACCTATAACTTCAGTGCTGGGGAGGTTGTGGGGAACAGCGATAGGTGGGTCTCCGGAGCTTGCTGGCCAGTCTAGCCAACTGATGAACTCCAAATTAAATAAGGTGGAACACGGATGAGGAAGACACCTGGCTTTGGCTTCTGACTTCCACAGGCAGAGCCCATGAAGGGCAGCCAACATGGTGTGAGTACCAGGAAGGCTCCTGGAAGCAAAAGCACAGGCCCTGGGGAGCAGGAACAGCTGCTTTACCCGACAGCCTGCTTGTCAAGCTTAAAATATAAACCCTGAGGCCCTCTGTGTGTAGTGGTGGTGGTAACGGGGGAGGGCTAGAGTTCAACTGCTATAAAGTTTGATGGCCAGTAGTGACAGCATCATGTGAAGATGTGCCTAATGCCACTGCACTATACACTCAAAAATAGGTTAAGATGGTAAACTTCATGGGCGTATGTTTTACCCGAGTAAATAAATGAATAGTATTCAAAATCTGTGAAGGATTCCAGAAGGCAGAGATCCAAGATGGCAAAGGGTAGGAACAGGTCCATGCCTGGTCTACTGGCAATAAGGAAATGTGAGATGGGCCAATGAACTTGAGGTCTGGCCTCCCCACCACTCCCCAACCCCAGGTGGGGCCAAGAGAACCCTAAATAAATAGCTGTATGTGCCAAAGGTAGGAAATTCGAGGTGAGGCACCAGATACCAGGCAGAGGGAAATGTCCTGCCCTGAGGGCCATATTCCCTGCCTCAGCCACACAGGTGAGCTTGGGAGAGGTACAAGCCCTGAGTTCTTACCTTCTCCTCTCTTTTCCTCCCTTCCCTTTAGTGCAGAGCTGGCCCATCACTGCACATTTAAATAAAGGCTACATCTAGAGACTCACCTTCTACTCCAACACACAAGCAAAAGGCTCAGAAGGGTAGAGGGCAAAACATGAGATTCCAGTGTCTTGGGTGCCAGGGTGTCTTGGAAGGTAGCCGCCCATACCCTGAGAGCAGCCACCCTGCTGTGATAGACTGTGAGACTCAGGTGCCTGGGCCTGGCTAGTCTTCCTGATTCTATCTTCTGCCACCAGCCCTGTGGGGAGGCTGGTCTGAGCAGACAGGTAGCCATCTCTGGAAGATGTGAGCAGGGAAGGTTGGGCCTGCGGCTGTAGGGCCTGCTATGACGGAGCAAGGAAAGGGGCTTTGTGAGCTGATTTCCAGCCATCGTTCCTCCCAGATTACCATGCCTCAAGAGCTGTATGGGGCAAGAAGCCCGCCAGGAGAGTGCCCCCTGCGCCAGCATGGAGCGAAGGCAGCGTGGTGCATTCAGATGAAGCCCTGGCTTCTGGGAAGGGAGGAGAGAGTACTAACATAGCCAGGCTGTGACAGGGTACCCGTGTTCCCAGGTGCTCCCCTGTCCTGGTGGGGTTACTGGCTGAAGCACACTGTTGGGACTGTCATAGCCATGACTTTAACTGTGCCAAGGCCGGAGGTGAGGCACTGTTACAGGCGGCCTGGAGGGGCCAGCCTTGATTTTTCACTTGAAGGGTAGCTGCAGCTCCTTTGCTGGAGGGGTCACGGGGGACAAAGACTTTCCTGAAAGGGTATAGAGCCTAAGCCTGCTCTGGTGGAGCTGCTGAGCAAAGCCTGTGATTTCACAGGAAACAGGCCTTTCCTGAACCAGCAACAACAGGACAGACAGAGGCAGGAAGGGCCCCTTGCAGGCCAGCACATGCTTAACCCTTCACAGACTCTCGCCCTACAGCACAAAGCTGAAGACCCTTGCTGGCATCATCCACTCTGGGGCCCTCAACCAATGGCTGGGGGTATTGAAGTCCGCAGGATGGTCGCCCTGGCCTCTGAGTGACCCAGAGCATAGCTGACCTTTGCTCTTAGTGGGAACTGAGTCAGGAAGGGAGGGTTAGGGGGTAACAGGACCACACACGACTCCGAGAGTGTTCCACCCAGAAGGCTGATTACCACCTCTCCTCCCACTGTGTGCCGGAAGACAGGCCTGCAGATAGGGCTGTGAATGGGACCTCAGCTACTCAAGATCCTGTGACTATGTGGTTCCTAGCAACAT